AATAGAGAATATCCTCAACGGATACTCACTTTCCAAACTTTTACACTATGCCAAAGGGAGAACTAATATCTTCCACAGATTATACGTGCATCAGTTAATCTACACTGGGAGTCTTCAATGGCAACAGGACTCAAATCTACGACTCGAACACACCGAACATGAATTCACATCCCTGAATTTTCGGCTATCGTGGTTACTAGTTTAAAAGCGAGGGAGAAAAAAATAGAATAAAAGAATAGAAAGAACTATAATATTGTTACGTAGAACCAGGTTCTAGGATTTTATGCAAACTAATCACAAAGAATAATAAACAGTTCTTCAAGAGCGATGCGAATTTATTAACAAAAATCCAATCTTTTAAATACAGGATTAAGCAGCAATATTCACAAAGTAAATCTCCGAAGTTCTTCACAACATCAACAGCAAACAAACACAATTATCCGTGTGTAAAATACACGTATGTAAAAGATTATTCACAAGCACAGCCGAGCTAATAGCTAGTCAAAACAATCCTCATTAACTCGCTGGTTTAATCAAGACTCATCGCCGTAGCGGCGAGTATCTTTTCTTATAGGCGCGACAGAAACTTCCAGAAATATAACCGGTCGTGTCATTTAACGTGATATTAGTGGAGAGATCTACTACTTTCTAGAAGATTCCAGAGGGTTCCGAACTCGCCAACATGGTCGCCAATGATGCCAAAATAGTCGCCAAATTGGCCCCTAAAAATGATACCAACTTGGCTCTACCGCCAAAATTTCGCCAAGTTCTCATTGAATCGCCATTATAACGTAAGGGGCGGCATTGTTTGTGAAGTGTAAAATTTTAACATGAAATAAACATAACATAGAGTAATATAAATGCATTAAACATCCAAATACAAATTATATACACTATTTACACAAAATTCGTAACAATATATACTTAATTCAAATGAACAGAGAATTTAAAAATAATATAAATTACGGATATTATATGACGATATTGAACAGGCAGTAGTTTATGTTCATTTCATACTTTTTTTTCTACTCGTTAAAAAATAATTATTAGTTTTCAATGCTTTAATTTTATATAATTGTTTGTGCTTTTAAAATATATTTGCCACTGAAGATACGAATGGATATATATAAAGAGAGAGAGACAGGGCAAAAAAAATTAATACAAAATCGAAAAGAGAAATAAATAGAACATCGCATGGAAGCAGGAATTATCACAATTTAAATGTGCTAACAAATCAAAGAGAATATTCAGCCTGATTTTCCAAGTACTCGAACAAAAGGAGAACTTAACTATTACCTTTACCATATTCTTAGCCAAAATATCACATTTTATTTTTATTTCTGAAAAACAACAACAGTATTTCTAAAAGGTTTCCTTTTTCTTTTTCTCGCCTTATGTATTTTTTATGCATGTGTATTTGCAACGCTGTTCGCAGTTGCGGTAGTTATAAACTACGTATAAAATAAATGTTATACTACTTTTTTTCTTTATAATGTCGGTTGCAGTAACACATTTCTGGTTTGGGTTATCTTTTCGTAAGTGTTTCCAGAGCTTAAAAATTCATTCAAATTATAAAACTATCAAGTGAACCGAGTGTCTCAAAGCGGTCTTTTCTCTTTTCTATTCACTCTTCCTTCAGTAAATCACACTAAACGGAGCCGTTCTTATCACCTTGAATTTATCACACTTCCCCATGCATAGTGGATGACATAAATGCTCCCTGCGTCACCCGTAATTCACAACAGAAAAGCGCACTAGAATTCTTTACGACTGAAAGAAAAGAAAGTTTAATTCTGAGAGAGTCTCCATTGGTTTGGCTGTCTGCAGTACCACTTCGATAATCTGCCGTGAGTGGGTATTTGGCGCTATTTTTCTTCCAGAACCCACAGAATAAAAGCACGGATTGAGAAAAAAAAAGAAGAGAATTGAACGGGAACAGGATGGCATTGATTTAGAGATATTTACAGATAACTTTTCTTACGTTTTGTTACACGTCAACTGTTCTTATAAAAGTTTTCGTTTTAAAAATTGCCCCGTCACGATTTATTGTGTTTTTCGTTCTTTTTTATGGTTGTATTCATTTTGAACTTTTCGTTATTGAATTTTTTTTTCTCTTTGAAATCGAATGAAAAACTTGTATAAAATATTTATCGAGGGATGGTTTTTTTTTAAATATATACGGAGCATCTTGTTATAGAGAGTTCTTTAAAGAATACCTTCGGATTTAAAAATATATATGGATTTGTAGAAATTAAGTTTTAATACAATTTATAATAATATAAATTGTGTAATATTATAATGTAAATTATTTGTAAAACATTTTTTTATATTATAGTTTTTACTACTCCGCTCTCTTTACACTGACTTCATTTTGAAAAGAAACAGCAGCAATTTTCCTTTCTTTTTATAATAATTTTTCTAATCATCAAAAAAAATATTCTTTTTTTTTTATTTTGAAATGTATTCTAGTTTTTTTTCGTGGGGCATCTTACTTAGAGTTCAGTAAGGTAAATAAAAATATATAGAATATATTTTAATACTTAACTGTAATACGTTTCACAATTGTTGTTGTCTTGTAAAATATATAACGATATCAAATAATATACCGTAAAATCCGGCGTATAACGCGCACTTTGAACACAAAAAATGAGATCGAAATATAAGGGTGCGCGTTATACGCCGAGTATAAAAACGACAGCTTTAAAAATAACAAAAGAGATGAGCATAAAAATTTTTTACTTTTACACATATTGAAATACTGTTTATTTAAAAGAAATGATATACCTTATGAATTAAAACAGTTCAAGTTCTAGAAATGTACTATTATTTCAAAAGTCTGACATAATAACACGAATAAATGACTTCAAAACATAAGAACGTTGTGTACTAAAATTTTAGATTTCTTCCTAAAATGTGGGGTGCGCATTATACGTCGAACATACCTGAAAATTAAAAAATGCAGCTTGAAAGTATGGGTGCGCGTTATACACCGGTGCGCGTTATACGCCGGATTTTACGGTACTATTAAATATCATCGCAGAATTTGTATTTTTGCAACGTCTTTCTTAGATTAAGAAATTTTAATCCTAAATGATGTTTATTATTCATATTTCTTGACTCAAAATTCACACTAAATTAAAGAAATTTCATGTTTTTAAGAAATAATTTTAATATTTTTTACGTCTTCCCTATTTTTTAAATTTAGTTTTGAAGAGAAAACATATTAATTTTATCAAATAAAAAGTAAACACAGCTTCACTGCTAACAAATCAAATAATTATTTATATATCCCATCCAAAAGTTATAAAATTTGCTGTTGCTCCGCTCACATAGAAAAGATAAAGCAATATTAGCGTTAAATTTGGAGAAGCACATTTACTAAAACATATACAAAAATAATATCACGTTTCTGCAAATAAATGACACAAAAGACAAAATTCTGACTTTTTAAATATCCGGTACAAAACAAAACTGTTATACCACTTTCAATTTAAAGCGAGTTTTCATCAAATTCCTTGTTTGACTTAATTATTATTGTTACGAACTTTATGTGATGAATATTTAAAAAAGTGTAAATATTTTATGTCTGGATGTGTAATACGTTTATATTACTTTCTGTTGCATTTATTCTATGCTAAAATTGTAATATTCGCAATCAACGCCGTTCCTTACATTATAATGGCGATTCAATGGTAACTTGGTGAAAGCTTGGCGATAGAACCAAGTTACCGTCGCTATGTTGGCATCATTTTTGGTGACCGTTTAGGCGACCATTATTGGCGATTTCACGACCATATGCATTCGTCTGGAAATTACAGGAGAAATTTACTATTATCACGATCTATGACGTAAGCAGATTTTTCGAGAATGATCTGTGAAGACTATTTATTGCTTGCCGAAATTGCGATAGTCTTGTTTTGACTGTTGATTGAGTATTGATTTGACCGTGAAGAGTTGACCAGCCATTAGTTATCACTTCGGCTGTAGAGTGGGAAGAGCGAGTGCTTGTGATTAATCTTGATCATACTTGTATTTTAGACGCTAATAGTTGTGTCTGAACGCCGTGGAAGGTGTGAAGACCTTTTGAGATTTATTCTGCGAATATTGTTGCTGTATTCTGTATTTCAAGGACAGTTGTTTGTGTTGTTGTTTTTTGACGAAAAATTTCCATTGCTCCTGAAGAACTGCCTTGCTCTTTGTGACTAATTGCATAAAATCCTCAAAATCCGATCTGCATAACAATATTCATTGCCAAAATTCACAGATTAGAAAAATTTGATCAGAGTAGATTTTTAAATATTTTGATTACATTTAAAGGAAAATTCCCGAAGAATACGTGTACGAAAAATCGTGTAAAAAAATATTGCATTTACGGCAAAATAGACGATGGGTTCCATTCCTAAGAAATTATTAAAAATAATACAATAAATCAGTGTTTATATTTTATGAATTAAAACAATTTACCTTGATAAAGTATCACGAAAAGTAAATTATGATTTAAAATGGAAAAAAAAATTGCTATATATCAGTAACACAATATAAAGACAATTTGAGTTACTCATAATTAGTTTTTATTGCTGTTTTTTTCTGACAATAAAGGCATACAATTGTGTAAGACTGCAATATTACTGCTATCGCTAGAAATACGTTTGTTATCATCTTCGTCCTTTTTTCCTGGTGAAATTCCTTCCGTAATCTCTTGAACAAGTAATATAAATAAAAATAAGTCAATTCCTACTTAGGGCAACAAATACAAATTTTATTTTAGTTACCTTTTTATTAATAGTTACAATTAATAAGAACATGTATATAGATATGACAGAATCGCATTAATGAGTGACAAAATAGAAAGCGATTTTCCTTGCAATTTTTCATTTTCCTTTCTATATAGGGTGTTGAACTATTTTTTGCTTGTTTGTTACTGTTTATTCATTAGTTAAATTTAATTATTCTAATAAAATAGTATAGTAAAAACTTAATCACATTCCCAGAAACTAGGCTATCCCAGGTGGGATTCAAGCCCACAACCGTTGGATCAGAAGTCCAACGCGTTATCCAATGCGTTACAGACAAGCATCGAACGATTTTTGTTGATATTTATTCATTTTTGAATTTAATTAATGAATTAATATTTAAAAAAACTATGTTAACATCAAGTGTCATTCACTACAAGTTTATAAAAAATGTATTTGAACTTGAATGGATGAATAAAAAGTATTTTATTACCGATTGGAAATTTGAACAAGATATATACATATATATATATATATATCTGGCAACAAATTAATGTTTGCACTCAGATTTAGCGCGGGCTTTGCATTTGTAAGTGCAATTTTTAGGTAAGTTACCTCTATCTTGTAATGGATTTAGATATTCCTATCCATTATTTCCTATTGGTTTTTGCTCAGTGTTATTTACAAAAAAAGGGGGAAGGTTGGCTGGCCAAAAAACATGTTCAACCCCACTTTTATATAAATTATTTTTTATATAATAGCTGTCCTAAGTCAGTAATGTTCATAACACTGCAGCATCCATTTTATATTTATAATCTCGATTACTCTTTTGTCCTTCATTGTGTGTTTTTCCTGCTGTCTGTGTTTGGCGAATGTTATTGATTGGATGTTATCTCTTGTTTGTAGAGAATTGGCCTATATATATATATATAAGGAGAGAGAAAACTATTAGTAAGAATTGAAAAAAATAGGATTAGTCTCCTGTTGCGCTAATGTTTTATTGAATTTAAGAGTTAATTTATTAAATAATCGTTGTGTTTGTATTTTGGTTAAGTCGTTGTATGTACTGGTTCGAGCACCAGTTTAATATCTTCATGCCCTCTATTGTTCTTTGTTTTCTTATTCTTTTGCGTATTTATTCTTTGTATTTCGTATCGAGAGCTCAATATCTTGATATTCACCCAATACGAATAACATATCATAGTTCGAGGAATTCTTACAAAGAGAAATCGTATTGTATTTCTCATATCCAATGCCACAGTTATGAAAATAAATATAAAGCATTTTTTTTTTCTTAGAATTCGGACGATCGTCTCAAATAAAAATAAGTGGTGTAAAAAAATTTCCTTTTCCAATTCATGTCGAATCGAAGCGAAAAGTTCTTGGGAAAACAGAAATGGGTGTATGATATTTTGAATCGGATAACATATGGGGGCAGGGGAAGCACATTTTATTTTATATCCTGTTTCTGGTCGGAGTTAATAAATTTTCCCCTGCGTAAAATGTATTCAATGTTTTGTTCGATATATAAGGGTTGCCCAAATCAAAAGGGAGCATATGTGATTGCGTCAGAATGAGTACACCTATAGCAGAGCCACCAACCAAACAGGGACACGAAGAACGGTAGAAAGTATACACTGCATATCTTTTAGTGGTAGAAGAATCAATAATACCAAATTAAGAGTTAAAATTCAAGCATTAAAGATTTAATCCATATTTGTTCAAAATTAAAATTGCATAACTCAACGATGAGATCATTTAAATGATGTAGCGTGAGGCATTAAATTTCGGAGATCATGATCACTTCAAGTGCAAAATGTTTTAACTTCTTGCCTTTTTCTGCTTACGGATTGGATTACGTGACGTGTGATCAACCAATCATATCAGGAAATCACGAAATAGAACTTTCATCTTTGTTATGAATCGGATCACGAAAAAAATTTCACTTGTCGTTTCGAATCTTGATTGTTTTCGCTTAGGTGGAGTTGAAGTCTTAAAGAAAAAACACACATGTGTGAAACTTAAACCTTTACACAAGATAAAAAATAATTCCTGCTATTACTACATTGTACACCATGAAGGAAGCTTCTCAAGTGCAGGGAAGTTTTATCATGATCAGGATGTTTAGTATTTCAGTGCAAATGTAGATATTGGGTGCTTGTAGCTCCAATAACAAGCTCTATTTAAAGGGAGAACACAATACCGTTTTGAAGTATTGAAATTACTGTTTTATGTATCTGTTTTACATGATTAACTTAAATATGCCTGGAAGAGTAATACGAGCATGATTCAAACACAACTATGAGTGCAAATGAGGAGCAGTTGTTGCCTTTGGAGGTGAATCATCCATCTGAGAAATTGGTAATCTTGACGCATGTAACGAAGCAACAGCGATGTCGAAACATAATCGATGGATATATAAAAGTTGACTAATTAACCTTCAATTCAAAAGTTGCGCTAGAGTTAGAGTTACACTAAAAAATGCATTGTTCTCTTCTTTACAACTCTTTAATAAATTAACAGATATATTAGAATCTTAATTTTACCAATATATATTGATACTGATTGATTTGTATTTTATTAACATCGCATTTTAAACTGGACTTAGGCTTTGGGGGATGGACCTCCTTATTTTGAACTTCGACCAAGTAACGAGAATGACTCACGAAAGCCCACTTCACAAAGTTCCACACCACGTCAATCTAAGGACTTTGTGGCTCGGTAGAGCCTTTTACACGTAGGGTATTCAGACACGATTTAAACCAAAATTTGTCATAGCCGGAAACGGGTTCGAGACCATGAATTCTCAGCTACCGCCATCGCAAATGCAGGAGAGGGAACAATGGCACCGATTGCACCAGCTTCTTCGCATAACAACACGTGCTGACCTACATTTTGTGTGCAGTGAGATGAAAAATAGCTGTGCTACATCAGGAGCTATATAAAAGTATGTTTTTTTCTAAAACAATCAATGTCTACCCATGCCCTACAATGTCGTGTCCAGTTTTCTGGAATGTACTCAAAGCATCCGTTGGTACAGTTATGTTTTCTTCAAAATCAGTCATCAATGAATCATTGAAAAGTGGATATGTACAGCTATAAATGGTACTATATTGTCTTCACTAAAAAGTAATGCTTCTGTCTGCATCACCCTGATAATCAGATTATAGTCAGAGAAACCATGAAGTGAGGTTGCTTGTTGTTACCTTATGCATTAACGTATTGGTATTGTACTCTCTATTATGGTATGATAGAGCATTTTAAATTCCATTCCTGATGCCTCTAGTACGCTTTACCAGTACAATACCTACAGGAGCTGAATAGCTCAGAATTTGGAACATGTTGTTACTCTTTACCTTCGAGCTTACTAGTAATCCCATTCTAAAAAGACCAAGCTTGTCTTATGTCTTGTTAGACTTGTCTGTTTTGGCCCGAAGTGTCCAAGTCTTTTAAACCCACCTTATTGCGCTGCCACCCTCACCTACTTTCTTTCCTGTTCTGACGCATATTGAACACGTCTAATTGATTATTGGAGAACAACTGACCAGACATAGAAACTCCCACTGCTATATCAGACAAGCTTTGATTACGTGTGGAAGTAGTATGGGCTACCTCACACCAGGACATCTAAAGCCTCATTCAATACCAAGGAGTGTAGCAGAAGTTATTAAAAGCCTTTGTGGCAACACATTGTCTTTCTCATTTAGCAGATAATTGCATTTTCAATTATTTCTCCTTTATATCGAAAGTTATCAGTGTAATAAGTTTTGCTTTGATACCTTTCGTAATTCTTGGAGTTGTATTTTAGATGACCATATTAGTGTAGAAGAAAATATATTTGAATATGATTAACTTTTACAAAACGCTTTAGGCTAAATTTTTTATTAATTTAAAATTGTTGAAAATGTCTTATCAGTATTTATATAAGAGGCTATATTTGTAACTCGTATGCTACATTATAATATTATTACATGATTATTATAAATATCCATGTATTTTTTTCTGAAATTCGATCAAAGTTTCTGTAATGCATCTAATTATCTGTTTCTTGATGCCTTTCTTCATAAATATGATCGCGAATATGAAACAAAAAAACAAATTCATTTTCTTTAAGATTAAAATAAACTCAAGTAGAATATTCGTACTAATTGAAAAATTATACAGCACACTTGAATGACGAGGAACTAAACTATTAGAAAAATTCATATTGTACATTTATAGTTTAAAGAACCACAGCTTAAATATTTTAAAACTATTAGTTGTTACATTTCACATACACATATAAATATACAGATACACAGACAGACATGCACACACGTACGTCCACACACCTTTATGTATTAATTACGTGTAAACAATGCACCTCTATTGAGTGTTTTTGTTATATTAAAGAAGAGGAAATATATATATAACAGAAAATTAATTAATAGTTTCATTTTTATTTTCATAATTCATTGTCTTTTTTATTTTATTTTCCTTCACTAATTAATTTGGTATTTATTTACACTTGTTAAGTTTTCCTTTCTTTCTGTATCTTTTTTAAATCGTCTTTAATAACATATAATTCTTTTTTTTAAGAAATTTATATGTATTGAAAAAGAGAATAAAAAATTACAGAATAAAAAAGCAAGCAAAAAGATTTTCATTAAATCTGTTTTAGGGGGAAATTATTTTTTTTGTTACGTTAATGTAATAAATTTGATACAAATGTTAGAGAAGTTAAATAAATATATAAATTTCCCTAAATAAATTAATGCGTCAATAAAACAATTTAACTATTCATCAAAAAGTAAAATGAGTAAAAAAAAAAATGTTTTCTTTTAAAAGTAGAAATTTCTTAATAAAAACTATTACTTTTTTATGAATTTATACATTTTTTCATAAGAAAGCTATCTCTGCATCATTCTATACATTTTCTTTCTGCATAAAACGCTCGTGACACTTTTCGAATGAGTTTTTCTCTCTTTCTTGAAATTTAATTTTTTTGCTATGATAGTTGATGACATAAACGGCTTCGAATCTTTTAACTTCGGAAATAAGTGTAATATAATATTTCGTAAGGACATAAGAAAAATAAATACATTGCAATTTTAAAACGTTCTTATACTTTTTGGCGAAAACACATTTCATACATCCTTCTGATTTCTTCTTTATTCGGAAAGTAAGAAATAAATTTTTAAAAGCTTGTTTGCGTGAAAAAGACATTGAGCTAATTTTATCAGATGTAAGACGAAAAAATGGTAAATTTTTTTACCTTCTTTTTCTTTTATCTAAAATTGCAAAGGGAACACATTTTTCAGCGCGTGAGACTTGTTTTATATCTTTATAATTTGTCTTT